TCCATACCCGACATTACATTCATGGGAGCCAGCTTACAAGTGGTTTCAAAAGAACGAAACAGCCCAAATAGAGACAAATGGTAAGAAACTTCCTACCTCCATTGCGAACGGACTGTACCATGGAATCGCAGCAGCATTCCATCAAAAGGAGTTCAGTGAAACAATGATTTCGGAAGTGGGAGAGTGTAACCGCCCGAAAGAACATCGTAAAATGTCCGCCTCAAGTCCAGGTACGTTCAACACTCTTATGGATTGCTTTATATGTTGTGGTTAAGCTATTCACGAGTACGTCAAAACAGCAAAGTTTGTCCTTGGACTCTAACGTCTTGATCTTATTTCGTCAGCGGCTAAAAACAAAATGTTGTAAGTATACACTATTTATGACTAGTAACCTAGCCACTCGCTTTTCTCCGACAAGAAATAAATTTGAATGGTTGGAAGTAGGCCGCTAATATTGAACGTAGAACTTTCACCAACCTCATAATGCATGGAATATACAGTATAACATTGTAAAGCGAAATTGACATACATTTGCTGAATTCCGCTGAGGATTTGCAAAGATCGTCTATGGCGTTTGGTTATTTTTCGCAGAAACTAGGTGAGAACGTTTTCATTCATCTGTCATCCACAACTAAAATCCGTACTCATCGGTCAGTCAACATTAAATAAAGTCTGTGATACTGTAACCTCTGCTTGATCACGTCAGCTCGATCGTTTTTTGCAGATCCTGTAAAAATACAAATTTATAAGCTGTGTACGTTTAGTAATATACACCGGCATCCACGGAGGCCTTCTTGTTGGCACAATAAACGAAATATGGGTGCTCTGATTAGTGAGCATACGCCAAATTGGCTTCGCAGATCAGCTGATAGAATGCCTCCCGCTTTTGAGCATGCAGTCGCTGGTTCGAATTCATTCGAAGCACCGATTTTTTTACAATCAGGTTTCTTCTAAGATAAGCCGCAGTAACCATCCAGGCCGACGCAGCAACCAAAACTTAGTTCACAGGAAAACAGTGGTAGATAAATCTCTTCAGATGCCAAACACTTACGAGCAACCGGTAATCGGGTTGATTTTGAGGCTACGTTCACCAATTTGTTATGTAATCAAAAACGATAACTACAGAAACCAATGTATATTCCCTCCTGAAAACTCAGCGACCATAGTAAGGTTGTCTAGCCGGTAAGTATCTAAATTACCATGTTGTGATGACCTGCCACACCACTTCTCTGACGGTCGGTTGCACCAACTGGTTGTAACAACCTCCTTCAAACCCCTCTAGAGTTGAGGTGGACGCTTGTTAGATCGTCAGTCAACCACGAGCGGTAAATTGATTCCAGCCTTCGTGCAAAATAGATGTGTTAGTCAAGGAGATTGAAAGCCACCCATGTCTGATTCAACCAAAGTAAAGCTTATTGATCACATTCGCGAACAACTCTGAGTACAGAGCAGCTAAGAGTTGTGCTGTGAATACCTTGGTAAGGATTACGTAACGTCGTGATCTCTGACATCTTAACGGGATTTATTTTAATCCTGTTCATGTTTGTGATTGCTGCAAACGCACGACATGGCTTAGCCATCTCATGACATCTGTCTTCTGAGTCTGCCGTCTGGATTTATTTGTGGATGAAATTATTAAGTTTGTTGGTTGAACTTTGGGGATTTAGTTTGATAGTAATTTAACATCACTCATATTTGATCACAGCCTTCGCATTCCTGTCGAATTAGACGTGTCAAACGAGTTTTCTAGCTGTAAAAAGCGTTACATGTGGGTCAGTGTGTTACGTTTGTACCTCTGAAGGGTTCACGAGGGGTTGCGCAAGTCGTAAGCATGTACCACGGGAGGTCATAAATTAAAAAGATGGTGTGTAACCTCAGCCAAATAAAAGAGTACACAAAATTTGTAGTTATGGGATCTTTCGTAAACGAAGAAACATGTCTGCAGCCGGGATCCTTGGAGAAGCCACACGATAACTTGTCACTAGGACCCCAATCGTTAAAAGTGTAGACTTCAGCTGAATTCGAACCAGCGACATGTCGCGCCGGGACATACTGTTTACGTCGCTGGTTCAAATCCAGTTGATGTCCCGATTTTTCGATATCTGGGCCTCTGGTGATTAGTCGTACTAAACAAAATGGGCTGTCACCTCTTATTTTAAAAGAAACATCGTGGTCCCGACGAAACGAACTAATTTGCCAGCCACTGACGTGATAGACGTCTGTTTTGACAAAGCTGATTTTCATCTGCACAACGCATAGAGGACAAATAAAGCTTATGGATGTGTTAGAACGGTAATGCATTAGGACACAGCTGATCTACTTCAGTCAATGAGAAGAGAAAGCGCAAAAACCAGGGAGAGTGATTCAATATCTTCTTACAACCCTAGCGGGTGATACTCCGCAGTCTAATTGATGTGAGCGTGAACTACTATTCGGATGCTTAATCACAGGTCCTATATTCGAGTTCTCAGTGCAAGTGGTGATGATGAGACTTAACAAGGCCAACCAGCTGACTACCACTTGGCTAGTGGACGCCGAAACCGTATGTCCGTGTGACACTCACTAAGCCTCCTCTGAGGCCACGTTTGGAGTCTGCTTCTTCAGAGGCCAGTAACAAGTAGTTCGGGAGTTTCAGCCACTGCAATAGGAAAGTGAAGCTAGTTTTACGTGCGGTTTTACATACTATTCAACGAAAGTTGGCTTGTTTTGTCGATATGTTTGATAGTTTCGTGAATGCAGCATAGTAAAATACTGTCCAATGTGGTTAACTGAGGATGCAAAGTTGGTCTCTGTCCTGAATTCAACACCTTTATATTATCAGGCTAACTTGGTGCGCGTCTGTTTAGTGCATTGCAGATCGTAAACTCCTGAGAACTTTCATGATGGGACAACATGTAATGACTAGCAAGAGAGGTTAGAACCACCTGATGAACTTCAGTCAATGATTTGTTTTGAAAGACCGCAGATGGGTTTGAGAGCTACACCCGTTCCTGTCAGTCAAATTTTATAGGCTCCTATCCACGTAAGATAGACCAATGTTTAACGTATTTATTTGATGTGCTCACAATTTCTCACAAGCACTAGCTTTGATATTCACTTTGCAGACCATAAATTTAGTGAACCACCGGCCAAATCGTCCGTCAATTCAATCTCAGATTCCGAGGATTTATACTGCTTGCGATGCGATCATACACGACTAGGCGATTCAACGGAGGTCGGACCAAATATGAATCCGCACAACACACTTCCATTTAGCCAGCGAAACAGCGGCAAATGCTGGGATCGATCTCAAGCAGCTGGTCATGCTTCCGATGTGCAAAAGGGCTTAAGTCTTACATCAATTTCCACCAAGCCGACCTCAGACATTTGCAATACACAACGGCACGCTTCCGTAGACGAAACAGGGCATATACATAGCGTTAGTTCGTTCATACCCCCCCACTATCGACAACAGATCGGCAACAAACACTCAGAACCCAGAAGCAACGGGGTAATCATTGCTAAGGGTAATGCGGATGGGAACTTGAGCGCTCCACCCAGTACACCGATCAAACTACCTTATGCGTCCCCAGCTAGTCTCATCGCCGCTACCGTCGATTTGCAACGAATACGCATAACCGAAGGTAAGTCAGCCCCCTTGGCAAAAGGAATTTTGTGATTGTTACACTTATTATATTCAATTTATCCATATTCTAGTGTAATGTTTCAGACAGAAAGTGATTAGCAGAAGTCCCTCGTCTGCCGGTTACGGTGATCTGTGTTTAACTAACTAACCCAATTCCGTTCAAACGTGCTCTGCATACGGCCTGATAGCAAATGTTCTGCTTTGTCGAATCTCTATATCTAACTCCAGATGTTACGTGTGCAATATTCCAACGTGTTCGCCCTTTTCCACTGGCTAACAGTACAGATGTTCAATATAAAAGAGAAATGAAATCTGCAATGGAATGAAACTGACTTTTAGGCCTTTGTCTACCAAAACGCCATGATCTCACCCTGAAGCTTCTTGGCAATAGGCCACTCCATTCCTCGTCCCAACCAGGAACAAACACGCAGGCCTGCTTCCCATATCTCTGGAACGATACACGAGTCATATTGAATACGTTTAATACCGTTTCACTTAAAGAGCCGTAAGGTTCTGAATGAACTTCCAACTGAAAAGCTAGTTGTAATAATTTAAGTTTCACTGGACTACAGGTATCCGGGAGAGACTTAAGACATAACCTGACATAACCTGCACGATTATTCACTTACCCGGTCAATCAGTAATGGACCTCCTTCTTTTAATCAAGAACGAACCATTAAAAACAGCATTCACGGGAATAAGAGTTTGCAAATAAGCAAGCTGCTGTGCAAACAGCACATTACGGATAAAGTTTACTGCTCTGGAGTGCACTATTTAACTCAAAGATTCAGACTAATCCAGTTGAACCGGTAAGAATTCAACCCAGCCTATTCGTACTCTAAAGTGATCCATCGTTACAACTCTTTTGAGCAGCTCCTTAACACACTCCCGTAGGTCACCGGATGTATACAAATGATCTCAAAAGTCTCCATCTTGATTACAAGTGAAATCTATAGGTGCATATGTGAGACGATCGACGGATCGTACTGGTTTGCTACAATCTAGACAGTCGGGAGATTTTCATAGTCTGTTGCATTCCGAATAAACGAATGATCCCGATTAGTGGTCTTGCGCGCTTCATCACCCAGCAGGGCAGACAGACACCGAGTGAACCGAACGTTGACAGGCACATCTTTATGACTGGAATGTCTGGGCAAGCCGCGGCACTATAAAACGGATGATCGTTACACACATTTTCCTGCATTTCGGTCTGTTAGATGTGTCAACAACCGGCCTTGCGTCCTCGAAAAGAAGTTCAACAG